GCGGAGGACGACGAAGAGGTGGCGTTGTTCTGGTGACGTAACGCGCGACACACCGGAACATGAGCAGCCTGCAGGTACCGGAGCTTCGGCTTCCGGCCGGAGATGGCGGTGGCTCGACCGGGCCGAACAACAGAGGCACCGCGCCTCTCTTGTTGGTACCCCAGAGCAGCGTGCCCAGGAGGAGACACTCGTGGATCTGTGGGTGAGTTTATTTAGGTTTCTTGCTCTAGGGTTTTGCGAGCTTACTCGACTTTCAGAGTCGGCGGGGAGGGGGATGATTCGCTCTCGGTGGGATTTGGTTGGGTTAGAACCGACGACAGAGGGAGCAGATATTTTTGGTGTTGATCTTCTCGTTTGGAATTTAGAACACTGTCACTGTTCGTGCAGAGCACTCCGGCGGAATGAAATTTTAATCCCTGATTGCGAAATTTCAACGATCTGTGCGAGAGAGGTTTGACTTCGTTAACTATTTGTCAGCTCCCAGCAAGTTCAACTACGTGCAAAAATTGGTACAAAATTCTAGTCACGCGTTCTACTTTATTTCCTAGATTCACTTTTCCTTTTTCCTCTTCCTCTTGAAGAAAGTTCAATCATCGAAGAGAAATTAACTGACTGATTGCTGCCTTTAAGTTGGCCTCGAAGGAATCTAGCAATGTTTTTCTAAAAATATTCCGAACAAATGTTTATGGAAATCTTCTTATCGCTAGAAATTTCTCCACGATGCATACTTCTTCTGTCGATGTCGCGACCGAACATTCGAAAAGAATAGCGATGCATTCGAGTCGCTCCGATCGTCACAGTTGTCTATAGGACCGCGCATTGCTCGATTATTATGGAGATCCGTCGACGCTGAGATCGAGAGAAATGGTTTCTCCCCCCGTGTCTGTCAAGGGGAATTGGATTCAATTCAATTCAAATCCAATTGTGGAATCCTAGATTGAAAAGAACTTTAGGCCTACTGGAATTCGTGATTCGAGTCGCCGAACGAACGAAGAAAATATTCCTACGACGAAATTGTCGAATTGTCAAATTTTCACAGTTAACTGTTGCCACTTGGCTGCCGAGAGCCATAAAAATTTAGCGCTAAATCGATTAACTTTGGGAATTAAATTTTATTACGAATCTTCGATTGTCATCGATTATTTGGTCATTGAAATTTGTTACTGTCTATTGCACTTTACATTCTCTGCGATGCAGGAAACAAAGATTAAATTGAATAATCGAAGATTTCCGAAGCGACTGGCGAAACCTGTGTAATTGGAGAGCATTAGAATCTTTCGAGATATTAAATAGAACTTAATTGATACCTTGCGTAGCATTTGAGTGGAATTAGTCGAAATTGTGGGAATTTTCACAGTACCTTAAGTTATCGATACGAGTTTCAAGATACGGCGAAATTTTCTCCGATTTGCCCTTCTTTGGACGAAATCGGAGCATACTTTCGTCCTCGAACTGTTGAAAAAAATTTGTTTCAATTATCTCTCGATACTTGAAATCAGAAATTTCTTACGTTTCGAATTTTCATCATAAAACACTGTTGAAAATTTTTTCGAAATTAGTGAAGAATTTTCATTCGTTCGTTTCTATCATCAAAGGGAAAGACGTATTAAAATTTGACATCGAATGTTTGAAAATATTAAATTATTTTCATACATCGGTTCATTCGAAACTTGCGAAAACTTCCGATCTTTTAACACGCATTAACGCACATAGACTTGGAATTTTCTGTTCTTTTCTGCCGTAGAAAACTCTGAAAAGCTAGCATCAAATTGACTGACAGTAAATTATTCATCTCCTCCCGCGAAAAGCCTTTTCAACACGTGCCTGAGCAACGAATCAGCTCGATTCTCTCGCTGCTTTCCGCAATCGCAGAGTTAGTCACAGAACCTCTTTTCCCGGAAGCCGCCGTTTTTCATTGACCCGAGATTAATTAACAGCTCCGATCCCTTGCCCATCAGTTCCAGAAACCTCGTTAAAACTTCGCAAATAGATTCGTTCCTTCGAAACTAATCAATCCGTCCCTTCCCTCCCTCAGTTCAAAAGTATCGAAAAAAAAA